CCAGTGCACTGGGTATCCTGGAACAGATTATTTGGATATATCAAAGGAAGGGCTTACTTTGTATCCTTGGATTCATGTGTGCAGGGCAGAGCAGTTCCGGTCTGTGTCACGTCCTTTGTCTCGTCCATGTTTTGTGTCCTTAGGGTTTTTGTATCTTGCCCTCGAGGGGCTCATGGGAAACATCAGGCATCATCCTTAGGTTCTTGAAAGTCTTCTCTGTGTAGCTGAGTACCGAAGTTGTCAGTTGCTTCATTTGCAGGTTCAGGTCTTCTTTGGAATCACATCTCTGACTGTTACGGTCAGCCTCTTTTAAGGCCTCATTTCAGGCCATATCATCACTGATGCTCTCCAGCCATCCCTCATAAAGCAGGAGGACTTGTTTTCCACATCATTCCTTTCTTAGCTTCCGAACGTGGCAACATCGTGCATCCATTGTCAGGGTTTTGACAGGCACTTCTTATGACCAATCATCTCATTAGTGTCTTTATTTTTCAGGATCCTTTGAGCCTAGTCACATTATCACAGCAGTCCCATAGGTCATGCTTTTCCACAGCATCTCAATTCTTACAATCTAATCTTGTCAAAGCAAGGTTTGTCTCTTAATTGTGTCACACGGTGTGTGTTGTCACAGGTATGGGATGTCTCACTTGGGGTCAGCCTGGAACTGCTCTGCCCTGCTCCGTGGATCAGTGGGTAGATAGAATATTGCTCAGTGTCACATCAACATGTCAGTTACCTTAGACAGTCGAGCCGGTGGCTGTATGGTCTCTGAGCAGGATTGTCTTGGAACTGCCCTGCTTGGGTGTATAGAGTCACAGCTAGGTAGAGTAGCAGGCAGTGTCTGGTATAGACATTTGTCAGGGCTCTTTGGCCTTACAAAATGTATAGGCTCAGTTTGGGGGTAAATCCAAGGTCACGGAAGGCACACCTCAGAGTCTCTCCCCTTTTGTCTTACAGCTACCCAAAGGAGACTGAGATTCCCGGGATGAAAGACAGCATCGGTTTTCCCGGAACTTATGGCGTCCAGGGTGAGATTGGCCGAACGATCATGGATGGAATCTTCTGAGAGCTATGGGGAGTCCCTGCCCCAATGACTTCTGGACTGCATTGTATAGCATTGTATATGTTTATTTATTGTTGCAGGTTGCTTCTTAGACGTAGTTATTGGGTTTTCCAAGTATTGTTTAATATATATTTATAAAAAGTTTATTTGTATTTTCCAACCCTATATATCTATATTCAGAATTTCTTACACTCCAAGATCCTATATATAATACAGTTGAAAGTAATTTATATATTAACTAGGATTATTTTTCAATATATAGAAAAATGAGAAACGCTAGTTTTCAATATTTTTTGCACACCCCACAATGAATTTTCAGGCATTTTTGGACGCTGCCGTAAAGCGTCGCAGCCTCCACGTCGTGCCGGCCACGCTGCCGTAAAGCGCGCGGAAGATGGCGGCGGTGACGGTGCGGGAGCCCCGGGCCGGGCCGGGCCCCGCGGGGCTGCATCGGGACTGGACGGCGGAGCCCGTCAGCACCGGCGTGAGTGCGCCGGGAGCCGCGGGGGCACCGGCTCGCGCGGGGCTGGGGGCGTGCGATGGGCTTGGGGGGTTACGGGGAAGGAGGGCCCGCCGTGGGCAGGGGGCGGGCTGTGGGACGGAGGGTCCCCGGTGCGGGGTTGGGGGGGGCAGCGAGAGCCATCATGGGGGCTGGTGATGGGTATGGGGCACAAGGGACCCCAAAGTGGGGCTGGAGCGAGGGCCTGGGGCGTGGCGAGTTCCCTATAGGGGCTGGAAGGGGGGTGTGTGTCAAAGGGACCCCGCCGGGGGATTCTGTGGGGAATGGGGGGCTGCTGTAGGAAGGGGTGTTATGTGGGGCGGGGGCTGCTGTGGGGCAGGGGGGATTCTGTGGGACAGAGGCTGCTGTGGGGAGGGGTGTTCTGTGGGGCAGGGGCTGCTGTGGGGAAGAGGGGGTGGGGGAAGGGGGTTCGGTGGGGAGGGGGCTGCTGTGGCACAGGGACCCCCAGTGCAGCCCCTCCCTCCCCTCCCCCCAGACCACCATCATGGCCGTGGAGTTCGATGGAGGCGTCGTCATCGGGGCCGACTCCCGCACCACCACCGGGTGAGGATGGTGATGTGACATCATCAGTGACATCACCAGGGCCAGGCCAGGTCACGGGGTTGTCACCCATGACCCCTTGTCATGGTGTGACCACGATGTCACCGTGATGCCACCCCCGAAGCTGTGGCTGTGGCCCCGTGTGGCCCCAGGTATCAGTGTCGCACCTGACAGGCATTTTTCATCAACAAATTCATCCAAGAATCCTTTATTTTTGTGCAGTAATTCCTGAAAAAACATCCTCAGGTTAAAGCTTGTGTTCCTGTTCCCAGTCTTTGGATTTCTCACCACAGATCCCATTTTCCTTGGCCAAATCCTTTTTCCTCATTCAGAGGGAGTTTGCGAATCCCACAGAACTGTTCCCCAGCGGTGGTG